CAACATAATTCAGTTGTTCATCAAGGACTCGGTTGGTGGCCACTAATGTCGCTTCAGTAATAATTAAGTGTTTTAAGTAGTGACTAACGGCTCACCCGCAGTTCACCGTAAAAACAAGAACGTCAATTAAAACCGAACAAAAAACACTAAAAACAAAAAATAAAAATATGAAAGTAAACATCCCCCCACCCCCCTCCAACCTCATGGCTAATAAACAACAAAATTGAAGAAAAAAATGAACATTGTTAATGACCATAATTAGGACCATAAATAAATATTTACTGAGAACCACAAACATAGAATTCAATACCAAAAATTAAACAAACAGGAGTCAAGTTTTTATATCTGTTCTGTTGATGAGGGTGGAAAGTTGACTCCTAGTTAACTGGATTATTTTCAAATAAGGGAACTTTTTGTTTTATGTTCGGTAATTGTTTGCTTAAAAAAGCTATGTATAAAGTACACAAAATAATTTGTATGTTGTCAACTGAAAGGTTCGAAATGGTCAAAGTCCATTTTAACTTCTAATTAGCCAAGATAACATTGGCTTTAATTGTTTATTATACATGAGAGAACTTTTGGTATTTAGTCGAATTATTAATGTAATAATTTCACATACCCCAAATATTAGGTTCATATCAAAAACCATCCAATTTTATTCAAAGTATCTGCACGGTAAAGCTCTTGATCTGCATTTACATAGTCTGAAAATAAATAGTTAGGGCTAGCTACTGAAGCGTGGCAGTTACGTCTTTTGCGGCAAATAGTGAATACCCTTGAGAAATAACTCCTCTTAACAATCAACACTGATTCTACAAGGAAAAGTTGACCACAGCAGAATTACACCTCTTATTCTTGTCTTACATATGATACTGTCAATCACACCGTATTATTCTAGGACTGCGAAGGCCTTCGAAAGTTGAACCGCTAGCTACGTAATTATATTAGGAATAAGCCCAGTAGAAAACAAGTAAGCAAAGGCTACAGTCGAGCGGGGCCGACCGTTGAATACCCTACAACACTATAATAAACCATACAGTTTATATATGCGAAATACTCGACAGAATTCCACAAGATATTGTGACAAATAATAAAAGAAACCCATCATGTTTCGTTCTCTAATTTTCGAATAATAGCAACTTAAACTAATTTACTCATTTCCAATTTATTGGTAGATGTTGCACGTAAATGGTCTTCCTAGATCTGGAACCAATATTTCCCAAAGACCTATAATCTCTCAGAAGTGGCAAATTATTAAAATTTATTATTGGTTTTTGACTGAAACGCATCTATATATATTCTTCAACGCAATCAGCGTTACCAACAAAGTCAGAAGTGCGTCTTTCCTGTATTTGTGAATTCTTCAAAAAGTCACTGGAATGGACATTTTCGCATTTTGTCTACAAAAGTTGGCAAACTCCTTCACACATTGAATATTTTTGGATGGCCATCCAAAACTGCTTGGCTTTTGCAATGTGCGGTAACGCCCATTTAGATGTGAGTGAGGATGGGGCGATAATTACGACCTGCCGACAATTTTACAGTTTTTTGGTCCATTTCAACCCCTACTCTCCAAAAAGAGTAGACTTCTATTCTGACCCTCATCTTATCCCCATGCAAAATTTCGTATGGATCGGGCCATAAATGAGATCTGTATATGAGGTCCTGATATCCTAACTACTTAGTTTTGTTAGTTGTAGAAATATTACCAAATGTTTAATTCAAAATGAAAATATGCCAAAAAAATATGACAAAATTGAAAAAAATATGAGAAAATTTTACAAAATTAATATTTTCATCTTTAGAGAGATATTTTTATGCGATTTTTTAGACGTTTTTTCTTTCCTACCAAGAGGCCATTCTGAATTAATGAGAACTGTCGAAATCAGTTCAGCCGTTCTCGACATATAAGAGATCTTTCAAGCATATCTTCTTTGATAGACATATATATCGCACATATTTTGCTATATATCCGATTCGTTGGATAATAACATCAATGTAAAGGTCAGAAGTAACCTTGTGATGGCTTTGTGATTTCCCCGGGATTTAAAATATTCACGGTTTAATGAAAAATTTTGATTTTTTTCAACACAAAAGATATGGTATATTTTACCCGCTAAATATTATCCGATGACCACCCAAATTAGTAGGCTTCTTCCCCGCCCTAAACTCTATCTACATGCGAAATTTCGCGTCTATTGGTCTATAATTGCGACCTGTATAGCTACTGCAAAATCCGACATTTTTTCAGTATTTGGTCCATTTCAACCCCTAAACATTTGGCGATCATCTCCAAAAGCAATAGGGTTCTATTCTGGTCCAAGCCCCACCTACATTCTAAATTTCGTGTAGATCGGGCCATAATTGCGACCTGTAGAGTGATTACAAAAATAACATGGACAGACGGACAGACGGACGGACGGACGGACATACAAAGCTAGATCGACTCAGCTCGGCGAGCTAGGAAGATCCATATATACTTTCCTATATGGGAAACCAATATTTCGTGGTGTTACATAATTTTTGGCCCAATCAAACTTATAATACCCCCAACACATAGTGTTGTAGGGTATAAAAATAAGGTGTTCCTCAAGAGGGATGATATCTCCAGAACTTTGTAACCACTTATTTAAGGTAATACAACGCTCCCAAGACGCACGGAAAAACCTTTTTTATAACGGACCTTGTGTTGATAAAAATATTTAGATGTGCCAAGTCTAAATAGAATCGGATGTTAATTTCGTGTTCTATATAGGGTGAGAAAAAAACTGCAACATAGTCAAACTCCATAATTTTTAATACGTTTTTTTAAATTTTATTGAATGAAAGCAAAAAATTTCGGAAACAGCATCACATTTTAGAATAAGTTTAGATTTGTTCGAATTGGTTACCTTTGGCACGAATTAGCGAAGCAACTCTTTAGCTCTTTTAAGTCTATTTTCTCTCTGTTGCGGTGCAAGTTCCTGCACTTTTTTTGAATTTTAATGGCTTTACGGACAGACAGACGGACGGATGGACATCACTAGATGGACTCCAAATGTCCTGAATCGGATTAAGTGGAAAGAGGCCTAGGATTAAAAACCGTTATATTTCTGAGGAACGTTTTGGCCGTATCAAATGATTTATACCCTCTCTAGCCACATGGCCGTAATAAAAGACACGTGTATCGGAATTTCGAAAATTTATATCGAGAACTGCCCTCAAAGCGGTCGCAAGTTTCCCCCTCTTTTTCGTATTGAGATTCCTTACAATCGTTGTATTTTAGTGTTTTTCGGGAATATCACTGACTAGCACGTACCCGCTACTTTTGTCAGCGAAAAGTCCAACTCAAAATTTTAGATTCATTCCAAAAGAAAAAAATGCCGAATATTATAGCGAAAATATTCTGGAGGGTGTATGAAAGCCTTGGGCATGCAAAAATTTTGGCCACAGACCTTCGACATTCCAACAGGACTCAACAACATCGCACTCAGCAGGCGCCACCTAAGAATCGTTACAAAATGATGTTCCTCGCTTCATTTCCAGCGCACGATGGCCACCAAAATCTCCGGATACCAATCCGTTAGACTATTGTGTCCGGAGAATATTGAAAAGCAAGGTTGGCACTAAAAAATACCAAAGTGTCGATCACCTCAATCAAGCGCTTCGCCGAGAATTCGCAGCGTGTGATGGTTTCATTGGCCGTTTGAAGGCCATAATTCGTGTCAGAGGCGACCACTTCGAACATTTGATGCTATTTCCGACATTTTTCGCTTCCATTCAATAAAATGTAAAAAAAAAATGTAAAAATTATGGCGTTTGACTTTGTTGCAGTTTTTTATCTCACCCTGTATGTATAGAAATAGATCTGGAATTAAAAATTCAGCTATGAGGGTAATTATGGGTTAGACAAAGGATAGTTTTTTGAAATGTGTGCCGAAAATGGTACTCAATTTGATATAGAATGGAGGAAAAGAACTAGAATTGAGAATATTGGTATAGGAATCACTGTGACTGTGAGTAGCGTTTAGATAAAGGGTGAACTTTTAAATCTATGCTATAATGTGTGCGAATAGTGATATGAGAGAAGGAATAGACCTGAACTCATGTGTTTAGCTATAAGTGTAACTTTTTTTTAGACAATATACAGGTTTTGGATATGTACTATAAAGTGTACGAATAGTACTTAAAGCGGTTAGGAGTGTATGAATTGAGCTGGAATGTACATATTAGTATTAGAATCACCGTAAGTGTGTAGATTTTAGGTAATGAGGTCAGTTTGCAAATACGTTCTATAACGGGTACTAAATAATACTAAATTTAGTATACAGAGTAGGAAGAGAGCTTGAAAAATACACAAGCTACTTGTTCTCATATACCCATTTTTGTAGAAATATTTTTTAGACAAAAAGTGCGTATATAACAATTATAATATGTAAGGTATTGATTTTCAATGTATTTTAAATTTCAACATTAAATCAGTTTTGCCCATCAATTTTATCAAAATATATCTAGCCCCAAAAATGTAACGAGTTTCTCTCTGGAAAAAAATGTTTGAGTTAACAATGTATGTCCTGTAAAAGTTAGACAAGTCCACGTGAGGTGAAAAGATGATAGAATGAAATATAATATCATATGTTTCAAACACCAAAACACTTCAGAATTTAAAAAGTCTATTCATTTGTGGGATTTGTCGGCAATTTGAATTCAATCTATCGACATACTATAAAACATAAAAATATTTAAAAGTTTTTCTCTTCCTCTTGCCGCAATTCAGATTTTCCACTTGGACATTTTGTTCGCTTTTTCAATTTTTTGTTTTTTTTTTTACATTGTCCAACAATAGTTCAATTGTACTTAATATGTTTTTGATGGATTTCACAATCGAACGCTGCTAGTTTATACATTCTTTTTTGTTTTTTTTTTGTTTTCTATTTTGTTTTCTATTTAATGCTCTTCTAACAATTCTCCCATATTTTTTTTTTTTACTTATTCTGTCTATTTCTCTCCATCTATTTCAGGGTACCCAGAAGATTGCATTGCCGTATCAGGCCAATCAAAAACTCACTGTTAAACAAATCCTAACACACTTCAGTGGCATCGATGCATCGACAATGAAAAATCCTAAGGAGATTTTTGCAGCTGACATTCAAAAGGATTTGCTGCTGCTTGAAGAGCAAGAAGGCTCAGTTAATTTCAAATTTGGCGTTGTATACAAGAAGCCGGGACAGTGCTGTGATGATGAGATGTTAAGTAATCGTAAGTAGGATAATGCAAGAGAGAAATGATTTGAAATGTACTAATTCATGTGAATTAGAAGATGAATGTTTTTTTTTTTTTAAATATGTCCTTTTTAAAATTTTCAATGAAATATTAAATGGTATTACAATTTCATTCAGAAATTTGTGGGACATTTGACCAGGAAAAGTGAAAAGTCGGGCGGGGGCGTCTATATGACACCCTCCACAAGTAGGCGTATTTAATAGAGCTCCCGTAACAAAAAAAAAATACTTTATATTAGAGATTTATATGAAGTAGATCATAACAACTATGAACCTTATTTTAATGCGAATCATGGCTTTAGAGTAATCACAATTTGGAAACTATATCCATATCTGAATCGATTTTAAACAAATTTTACGTAGGCTTTTGTACCTCTAATACCGAAAAACATTGCTGTATTGTGCCAGATATGACTTCAATAAGAATTATACCGACAAATATCCATTGGAGCAATAGATATAAAGGACCGAGGTTCACCAAGTGGAAAAATTCGATTGAATTTTAAAAAAATCTATCCAATTGGGGTTGATATTACATGACAGACAAGAGTAAAATCGGATGAAACTGTGTATAGAGGTTATACAAACATTTAAACCGATCTCGATAAAATTTGGTAGATGTGTCAAATATCCTTGTTGTGGAGTGCATATTACGCATGTGGGGGACTTAAACACCCAAGCGGATAAAACATATATATGGGAGCTATAGGCATATCTGAACCGATCTTCACCAATATTCTAATTACTTGTTTCTGGTCGGAAGTACCAAAATTCACTCCATTAGGCTAGCATTAGTCATTTGGTCCACAAAAAAACCTTAAATCGGATAAATAAAAATATACATCGGAGATATATCCAAATTTGAATCGATCTTGACAAAATTTTGGGCGCTTATTTGTGGGTTGTATCTGATATCTGGTTCCAAAGATCATTGTCAAGGAGTGCATATTGCGCATGTGAGCGATTTAAACCCCCAAACTGGATGCAAAATATATATTTGGAAGCTGCAGCTTTATCTGAACCGTTTTTCCCAAAACTTGAAGAACTCGTTTTTAGGTTGAAGTCGGCTCGACGGAAATTAGTCAGTTGGGGCATAATGAACCAGAAATCGGGATGGGAGCTATATCCAAATCTGATCCGATCGCGATGAAATTTGACAGAGGTATTTCAGATCTCCATAAGTTATCTGGTATCAAATATCATTGTTGTGTAGTGCCTATTACGAATGTGAGGGACTTAAATACCAAATCCGCTGAAACATTAAACACGGTGAGATAAAAAAACTGCAACCAACTTCAGACTGCTGTCATTTCTAAGCCACTCGTCCGACAGCTGTTAAAATTATTTCAGTGACAGCTCATAAAATTGCTTACAAGCGTACAAAAGCATTTTGGTGAGAATTTTCCAGAAAAAAAGTTATTCGTGATAGAATTCAAGCGTGATTGTGTTATTTCTTTATATTTGGCTGGAAGACTGCAAGTGGATTTCGTTAGAGCACGCCAGCATTTAAATGTGGATAAATCTTTTGTGTCTCGTACCATCACTCGTTACCGTGATACTGGTAGCGTAGCACGACGTCAAGGAAGTAAAAATGGTTCGAAAAGTAAAGAAGCGTCTTGATCGAAACCCGCGTTGCAGTGGCCGAAAAATGTCTCTTGAGTTGAACATATCGCAATATTCCATTTGGCAAATATTGAAAAATAAGCTCAGAGTAAAGCTATTGAAATTTCAAAAAGTGCAAGAACTTACACCGCAACAGAAAGAAAATGGACTCAAAAGAGCTAAAGAGTTGCTTCGCTTCGCCGAAAGTGGCGAACTGCCGAATTTGGTTTTCCCGATGAGAAAACATTCGTTGTCCAGCATTTGGTAAACAAACAAAGTGATCGTGTTTACTTGACAATGAGGTCAGCTGAAAATATGTACCTTCGTTTGACCACCAGAACTCAAGCGCCGGCCATGGTGATGGTGTGGGCCGCCATAACAGCCGATGGTCGCTCTACGCTCGTATTAATCGACCGCGAAAATATTATGGAGGCTGTATTAAAGCCTTGGGCCAGCAAACATTTTGGCCGCAGATCTTCGACATTCCAACAGAACTCAGCACCATTGCACTCAGCACGCGCCACCCAAGAATGATTACAAAAAGAGGTTCCTTGCTTCATTTCCAACGTACAACGGCCACCAAAATACCAATCCGTTGGAATATTATGTCTGGAGTATTTTGAAAAGCAAGGTTGGCACTAAAAAATACCAACGTGTCGATCACCTCAAACAAGCGCTTCGCCGGGCCAAAATACCGCAGAGCAACATTCGGGCAGCGTGTAACGGTTTCATTGGCTACTGAAGGCCATAATTCATGCCAAAGATGACCAATTCGAACAAATCTAAACTTATTCTAAAATTTTATGCTATTTCCGATTTTTTTTGCTTTCATTCAATAAAAATTAAGAAAAAAGTAAAAATTATGGTGTTTGACTTTGTTGCAGTTTTTTATCTCACCATGTATATGGGAGGTGTAGCTATATCTGAACCGATTTTCTCCAGATTCAGGTCATTTTAACTGATGTTGGGCATTTGGTGCACAATTAAACCGAAATCGGTTGGGATCTATATCTAAATTTGAACTGATTGTACCCAATTTCAATAGGGTTCGTCCTTGAGCCAAATAAATATTGTTTGGAAAATGTCATGTCAATCGGATAATAAATGCGACCTTCATTTTGGTCACAAAAATACATGGACAGGCGGACGGATGGACTGACATGCATAAATCGACTCAGAAAGTGATGTTATGAAGATACAAAGGTAACTGTGGGTCTATCTCGCTTCCTTCTCCCTGTTACAGACAAATGCACAAAGACGGGTATTATGAGGTGTAGGGTATATAAAAAAACATTCAATGGTTAGTAATATTTCAATATCTCATATTGAATGGCTTTTTTTGTAAAATTTCTCAATATGCCAATATTTTTTATAAGAGGTATGATCTTTATGTAGATATACGGAAATAGGTCAATATTCAAAATTTTATGTGATATGTTTATATAATTGATTTTAAAATTATATTTATTTATAACTAATAATCAGTACAAAAATAAATTGATTTATTTTTTTTTTCCTCTCGAAATATCAAAATTCACTTGTCACCCACTCATTTTGAAAATTTACAAGAATCATTTAAGAACCCCATTTAATTATATTTAATTTATAAAAAAAAAAAAACACACAATGACTTTAACAAAATAAGATCCTTAATCAGCCTTTCGGTCAATGAATAGCCTAACAGATTTAAAATTAAAATCGTTTAATATGTTCTTAATGCATTCTTAGGTTTCTTTATGAACTTCCTTGCCAAGAATTTAATTTTCAGTTTTTGTTTTGCTTTCAAATTCACTTGACAATGGCATGGCATGGTACATAGAAGCAATTCCCTGCTTTGTAACAGGTTTTATTACTTGTTGGCGCATTATTAATGTATCCCTTTTGTCATAGACCGGCATTGTCTAAAAAAGTCTTTTGTTCTGCCTTATGTTTCTTTAATATTTTCTAAGCAGGAATTTCTTTATTTATATTTCTATGTAGTTGTGTGTTTTTTCTTTCTTTCACAACCAAGAAGCCTTTAATCGGTCCCTGTGTGTTTGGTTTATTATTTGTTTTGCCTCTTTTTTAAAACATTTCTTCTTTTTTTCCTCTTCTTCCAGAGGAATCCAGTCCAGACTTTGAAGACTTTTTAGATGTGTTGGGTGAACGTGTGCGCCTAAAAGGATGGGATCGCTTTCGTGGCGGTTTAGATGTTAAAGGTAAGTATGTTGTTGGAGATGAGGCTAAGAAGTACAAGATGTAGGTATATGGGACTAACCACTTGAAATAGATTTGTGGTTAAGGAGATTTCTTCATGTATGAATCAAAAAAAAAAAAAAAATCAATTATTTTGAAATATATTTCAATGTCTCGAATAAGGATAATATACAACAAATAATTGATTTGTGGAATACCCTACAATCAAGTCTCTGCATATTTGAAACCCTTATAACTGAAATGATATAGCTCTTCAAGTTATTGGGATTACTAGTGGTTTAAAAATAAGGTATTAATTTCCAATTTAAAAATCAAATTTTCTCATTATTACTTTCCTCCATAGATCTGATCCTAATATTTTACATGAAATTCTGTACGCAGGAAAAATATTTTAAATATTGCAGTCTTTTTCATGCATAAAATTGTATCATATAGTTATGCAAAAGGGTAATATGGCATACTGTCTCAGATTACACTATGCGACAAATTTTAATTTTTCCATAATTACGGAGAAATTCCAGCAGAATATGAAAGTAGAGCTAAAAAAAGTGTATAGGCGCTTTAAAATTTCAATCGCAAAGTAACCTAAATAGAAGGGACACTTTTAGAAATTTTCGTATTAAGTTTCCTCTAAATTCGTACGCTGGTGTCTTCGACAATATTGCAGATAAAAATACAAACAATTTTTTTAATCGAAAATTTTAACCCTCGAGCGAGTGTAAAAAAGTTGTCTTGTTGGTCCTTTTTTTAAATATTGTTGAAAACTGCCTTTGAACGGGATCGTAGCAAGTCAAAACATTTTAAAAGGGTTAAAGTCATACTTTGGGTGAGTTTGTGCAAACATTTTCAATAAATAATCATTTTACAAGGATGCCGTTAAAGACAAAAATATTCTTCATCAAATTTCACTATGAGTCACCAAAGAAAAGAAATCTCTATTTATATCACATATCAAGAAAACAATAATAACAATGTTGTAAAACAAAACGCGAAAAATGCTTAGGTTTTTTTTTTGATACATGAAAGTAACATGAAACAAACAAACGGCCAATGGAACCGTCACATGCTGCCCGAATGTTGCTCTGCTGTATTTTGGCCCATTCCCGGCGAGGTAATCGAGATGATCGACACTTTGGTATTTTTAGTGCCAACCTTGCTTTCCAAAAGACTCCAGACACAATAGTCCAACGAATTGGTATTCGGAGAATTTTGGAGGCCATTGTGCTCTGGAAATGAAGCGAGGAACCTCATTTTGTAACCATTTATTCGTGGCGCGTGCTGAGTGCGATAGTGCTGAGTCCTGTTGATGCACCCTCTAGAATATTTTCGCGATAATATTTGGCATTTATTCTGATGCCACGGTTGATTAATACGGCTGTTATGGCGGCCCACACCATCACCATGACTGGTGCTTGAGTTCTGGTGGTCAACCAAAGGTTCACATTTTCAGCTGACCTCGATCTAAACTCGATCAAATTCGGCAGTTCACCTCTTTCGGCCATGCGATGCAACTCTTTAGCTCTCTTGAGTCTATTGTCTTTCTGTTGCGGCGTAAATTCTTGCACTTTTTGGAATTTTAATGGTTTTACCCCGATCTCTTTTTTCAATAGTTGCCGAGTGGAATATTGCGGTATGTTCAGCTCACGAGCCATTTTTCGACCACAGCGACGCGGGTTGCGATCCAATCACTTCTTTACTTTTCGAGCCATTTCTGCTGTTGCTGTTTTCTTCCGTCCACTTCCTTGACGTCGGGCTACGAGACACAAAAGATTTATTCACATTTAAATGCTGGAGTGCTCCAACAATAGCCACTTGTGGTTTTCCAGCCAAATATAAAGAAATCATACTATCTCGCTTGAATTCCATCACGAATAACAATTTTTCTGGAAAATTATCACCAAAATCCTTTTGTACGCTTGTAAACAATATAATGATCTGTCACTGGAATAATTTTACAGCTGTCGGACGAGTGGCTTAGAAATGACAGCAGTCTGAAGTTTGGTTCAGGCATTGGTTCGGGGATATGTACAGGCAATTTTCTGTCATAGAAGGTAGTACCAGTCATGAACATGAAAAAATACCCAATTGGAAACAATTCCGTTGAAAAGTTTAAATGACCCATTCCTCCAGAAACCAAATGTTCTGTAGACCTATTACCATTTTATTAAAATTTCATCTGTCTTCATAATATTGTTTGGAAGCTAGAGTGATCTCCACAGACGGACGGACATGACTAAATTGACATAGTATTTCATGTTGATCAAGAATATACATGCGCAATATACAATATGCGCAATGAGAAACTTAATATACCCTCCACGGTAAGGGAAAGGTATAAAAATATAGATTTCCTTTGTTCAGGACTCGAGAAGCTGTTGAAGTGTTGTGTAAACTCTCCAAATTCCGAAGTTGAAGTCTATTGTTTTTCGAGATATATATTTAGGCGATCAAATGTACCAAAAATTAAAACTTTCCTGATCTTGAAGAGGCTCTACAGGTCACCATTAAAACTCAATCGACACGGAATTTTGCATTAAGTTAGGGGTTAGGACAGCGCAGAAGTGCAGCATTTTGACGATCCGTGAATTATAGTTATCGTGAAAAATAGACCACAACTTTTGTGTGAAATTGTTTGAGGTCCCTATCAGCACGACATTGTGTATAAATATAAGGAAAATAGCCCCGGTTAAGAACAAAAGTGAATATATAGCATTGTTTATTAGGCAGTATAGCATTATTTAAAATAACCGACTAAAATGTGTTTGGACCTAAGGAGGTTTTCCAATATATTTTGGTGTTGAAACGCATGGTCGGTCCCGCACGAATATAGCCTTTGCTTACTTGTTTTTTAGCTGCAGTTACCTGTAATTAAGGAAAAATTAAATTATTTTGTGCAGTGCTAGTTTTTAACAAAGCTCATAGAATAGGCTTTATTTTAGGCAGAACCTATATGGCGATTGCTCTAAAGTCTAATGCAGTTTCAAATTAGAATATTAAGACATATAGTGCAACTACTACTGTCAAACTGCCATATATAATTGTTGAAACCTTTGAAACAGAGAAGTAACCTTTGACCTCAGAGAAGTATATTCAGTTTATTGCAACAACATTATGGAATGGCCCATACTCAAATTAGACTTCAAATAAATACAAGAACAAGTTTTCTTTAAATTACTCTTGTTCATCCTGGGTACAGCTACATTAACTATAGCATTCGTGTTATTCTTCATCTTGTGTTTTTTTTAATTTTTGTTTCATTCTTTTTCATCTTCAAATGGACTTACCCCTCGAAATCAAGAGAACTGCAATGCTTTTATGCCTTACCCAGAAGATTTTATAGTTTACGTTTCTGTTTTTTCGTTTCTTGATTATTTTTCTTGCCTATGGATAGGAAGAGAATAAGAAGAAAAACTCGTAGAAATCTTCGTGCCTGCCTGTAATACAAGTGTGTAATGTTAAACATTTGTCTTCAACGTGTTGTGCCATGAAATATGCTATTATAACCTTTAGTCAGCCATCTTCATTTAGTATTCGGATTTGCTATGGGGGGTTAGAGGGTAGGAGAAATGTGTAGAGCTGATGTGAAACATGTCAAATGTCTATAGTTTGCGGGGTTAGACATTGTAAAACCTTCACAGATGTTTCGTTTTTCTCTTCTTTTTTTTTTTTTTTTTTTTTTTGCAGAATTTAAATATTGTTGAATGAGGAATTTAAGTTAACTTTAAATATCTTTAAGGAGAATTGGATTAAAAAACACTTATTATTCCATCAGTATCAAAATATTACTAGAATATAATTACACCAATTACTGGTGTTATCGTTACAAGGATACTATTTCTTAAATGGACCTGAATGTACCCTTTAATAAATAAACCACGGATATAGTGCATTAAATTGTATGTAGATCTGAACACCTTTAGACTAGAATGAAGGAAGCCCTCAAGATGTTGGAATACATAACTGGTCTAAATAAAAATTGGGTTTGTAAATAACACTATGCTACATTTTTCCCCCAAAAATTTTAGAAAAAACTCAGATGATCATGGAAAAATTTGACAAAAAATAGTTAGAAAGACTTTTTAAAACAGAGAAGTGCATATTAAAATTTTCCACAAAATTATTGGTTATTAAATTCTAATATAGGTCTCGGAATACAGGTCAAGGACAAACTAATTCTTTGTCTAATTTCGGTTTGCGTCACCAAAGTACAGATTTCTTTATTTCCATTATATATCACGAACATATTTGCATAAATGTTTCCAACGCGAAAATAGTTTCTAATTTTTCCTTCAAATTGTACTCGGTATTTTTTACGTCACTGGCAAAAGAGGAAATATTCTGCACATATTTGAGATAGTATCACGAGAAGAAATATTAATTTTAATTTTAATATAAGAGTATAAAACAATGATCCTGTATTGCATAAAAAATCATCAGGATTGGCTTATGACATCTTCCATCTAGCTTCCGAGCGAAAGGCTGTCGGTTTATAAAATTTTACTCACATATATTTTATGTCTGCAGGACATGTATTGAAAATGGGACAAGGCATAGTTCCTGGATTTGGAGTTCATGGTAGGCGCCGCCTCCTATAGCAGATTATTGGCTATAGAGGTCAACGTTTTCGAATAGCCCTCATAAAACTGTACATCCAGATATTTGGTATGTTGATGATTTGTGTCACACTGGAATTGTTTTAAATTTGGTACTTGGAGTTCGCTCCTTTGACAGAAGCGGAACTGTTTCAAGTTTGATATTCGGAGTGTGTAGTGGGTTTGTATTATCTATTATGACAGAAAATTGTCTATACAGGCCCACATCTTCCTATAGCTCCCATACCTCCATATATGTGGTATTTTGCCACACTTTTAACTAGAATTTTTTTTAAATTCGAAATTTGGAGTTCGCACTTGATACCTCATCCATAACAGAAAATTGTGCACACAAATTTATGTCATCGTGAAGCTCCCATATAATTTATTCAATGAAAGCAAATATCATCACATTTCAGAATAAGTTTAGATTTGTTCGAATCGGTCACTGTTGGCACGAATTATGACCTTCAAACGGCCAATGCAACCGTCACACGCTCCCCGAGCGTTACTCTGCGGTATTTTGGCCCATTCCTGGCGTAGCGCTTGCTTGAGGTGATCGACACTTTGGTATTTTTTAGTGCCAACCTTAATTTTCAAAATACTCCAGACACAATAGACCAACGGATTTTTATACGGAGATTCTGGTGGCCTGAATGCGATGGTGCTGAGTCCTGTTGTAATGTCCAAGGTCTGCGACCAAATGTTTGCGTGCCCAAGGCTTAAATACATCCTCCAGAATACTTTCGCGATAATATTCGGCATTTATTCTGATGCCACGGTCGATTAATACGAGCGGAGAGCGACCATCGGCTGTTATGGCGGCCCACGACATCACCACAGCTGGGGCTTAAGTTCTGGTGGCCAACCGAAGATGCACATTTTCAGCTGACCTCTTTAGCAAGTAAACGCGACCAATTTTTTTTTTGTTAACAAACTGCTGGACAACGATTGTCTTCTCATCGGAAAAAACAAAATTAGGCAGTTTACCCATCTCGGCTAAGCGAAGCAACTCTTTAGCTCTTTTGGGTCTATTTTCTTTCTGTTGCGGTGAAAGTTCTTACACTTTTTGGGATTCCAATGGCTTTACTCCGAGCTCATTTTTCAATATTTGCCGAATGGAATATTGCAATATGTTCAGCTCATGAGCCATTTTTCGTCCACTGCGATGCGGGTTTCGATCATGTCGCTTCTTTACTTATCGAACCATTTTTGCTGATGTTGCTGTTTTCTTCCGTCCACTTCCTTGACGTCGGACTACGCTACCAATATCCCGGTAACGATCGATAGTACGAGACACAAAAGATTTGTTGACATTTAAATGCTGGAGTACTCTAACGATAGCCACTTGTGGGTTTCCACCCAAATATAAAGAAATCACACTATCACGCTTGAATTCCATCACGAATAACTTTTTTCTGGAAAATTCTCACCAGAATGCTTTTGTACGCTTGTAAACAATATAATGAGCTGTCACTGATATAATTTTAATAGCTGTCGGACGAATGGCTTAGAAATGACAACAGTCTGAAGTTGGTTGCAGTTTTTTCAATATGTTCCGGCAGGTCAAGTTCGAAGATGGACATTTAGTCACATTTTTCATCCCCTTCCTTTGTATATATACATGGTATATTTTCGCTATATATATCCGATATATTTACTATCGAAATCTACGCAAAGGTCAGAATTGACCTGTTCCTCTATTTGTGATTTCGCCGGGATTAAAAATATTCGCGGTTTTATGGAAAATTTTACTTTTATTTAACACAAATGTTATGGTCTATTTCACCCACTAAATAATTCGCGATAATCATCAAAATTGGAAGGCTTCTGTCCAGCCCTAAGCTCTAGCCACATGCTAACTTTCGCTTCGATTGGTCTATAATTGCGACCTGTAGAGCAACTGCAAAATCAAGAAATTTTTCAGTTTTTGGTCTATTTCAACCCCTGAATATAAAGCAATAGGCTTCTATCCTGGCTCTAGCCTCACCTCCATTCTAAATTTGGTGATTATAAATTAACATGGACAGATGGACTGACATACATAGCTAGATCGACTGAGTTCGGCGAGGTAGGAAGATCCATAAATAGTTTCCTATGTGGGAAACCAATATTTCGAGGTGTTACATAATTTTTGGCCCAATCAAACTTATAATACCCCCAACACATAGTGTTGTATGGTATAAATAATAATAATATTTCCTGTCATATCAGGGCATCATTTGTAATAACACCTTAAAATAACGTTATCTTCCGTTTCCGCCCAGTATCACTGGCTTCACATTTATCCCATTAACAATATATCATTTCAAAAAAATACAACACAAAAAAACGAAGGACACAAGGGTTTTGTAATCGTTTGTTATGAATCAAGGAATTCCACAGAGAATTGTCCCTCTCACCTTAGACATTGAGGAATGTAGAGGTTATGGTTCAGAATCGTGGTTGTGCTCCTGATATATCTTATTAATTTAATTTTCAGTGTGTAATAATTCTTCTCTTCTCTCTTCCTTTTTGTATCTTGTTCTCTTACAGGTGATATGACTGGTAAATACTCGGTCTATACTCTACATGAAGGTCATGAAATAATGTTTCATGTTTCAACACTTTTGCCCTTTTCCAAGGATAACCGACAACAGGTGAGTGCGACGACAAAGAAGACGATACAAATGAACAACAGCAGCAGCAACAATTGCTGGGTGGTTGGCCCAACAGAGATTAGTTGTACAATTCCACTCCATTTGTGTTATCGTCGACTTAAAGAAGTTAAAGAAGGCAAAATAAAATAATAATACAATAAAAACTTTGGAAACGCTTGTGGCAGAGATACGAAAACTCTTAAATTGCAAGACTTAAAGTATTAAAGTCTGTTAATAATAAAATAAGTGGTTTGTTTTCAATTGGGGTTTTTGTTGCTCATTTTGTTGAGAAAAAGACAAAGGAACATTTACGATTTATCGCAAAGGTCAAAAACCACTAACATTTTTCAACTTGCAACAGAAAACCATAAACATGACCCAATGGTCAAGAAGAAGGTTTTATATTTTTCAAACTTGTAACAACATCTGTGTCGTTAGGAAGAGAAGAGCTAGCATTAGACATTACAAAGTAAAAGTTTATAAATCATTGTTAATGCTCATAAATCCCGGCAATTAAATCACTTTGATATGTAAAAATTTGTATTTTAATATAACAGCATAGAGAATGAGTTAATATTAAGACACAGATTTAAGAGAAAAAGGATTGATTAATTCGATGTACTATAACAAGTCAAATTGGAATTAAATTCGACCGACCCGAACCAAATCAATTGGCTTCAAAATCCTTAAAAAGTGGGGTTGCCATTACATAAACGACATATGCAAATCTGTTAAAATGCTCAATGTTTACCCAAGATGTAAGGCTAACCTCAAATAACGAATTGTAGCCTCTCAGTTGGCATATGTGTCAGAGACCTTTCAAAAACCAATAACACACAAACATATTACAGGAACAAAAGATTATTAAAAAAGTGCTAAAAATAGAAGACAAGTTTAAAAGTTTACATTTGAAATTTTTGGATTAAGGTTCCCTCCAAAGAGCCTATTTCATCCTTCTTATACCATGCAGCACTATGTGTTGAGAGTATTATAAATTTGATTGGGCTAAAAATTATGTAACCCCTCGAAATATTAGTCTCCCACATAGGAAAGTATATATGGATCCTTCTATCTCGCCGAACTGAGTCGATCTAGCTAAGTATGTCCGTCTACCCATGTTAATTTGTAATCAAGCTATAGGTCGCAATTATGGCCCGATCCTCACGAAAGAAGTCTCTTGCTTTTGGAGATGATCGCAAATTATTAAGGGGTTCAAATGAACCAAAAAGAGAAAATGTTCCTGATCCAAATATTCCTGAAACCAATCGATACGGAATTTTGCATGAGAAGAGAGTTAAGGACAGGGAAGAAGTCTAGCGTTTTGGATGACCATTGGATTATATTTAACTGTAAATTGGATCACAACTTTTGTGTGAATTTGTTTTGAATACCTAACAACACGGTGGAGTCCGTAAATATTGGCCGAATTCTCCGGGTCAAAAACGTAAGGGTAACATCTGGACAGGGCTCTTTTATATATTTTTAAAAAACGAAGTCATTAAAAATGGAGTTGGACATTAGAGGACTTCGAACATATTGTAGTCTTCATAGTTAATACGCATCAAAAGAAATTTCATCATTTTTGTTTCATTTTTTTTTTTTTGTTTTGAGAATATAGCCCCATATAACAGCATCTCCCTATAATCGAAATTTTGATTATTTTATTTTAACATCATTCAACTGAATTATTTTAAAATTGGTATTTGGTCTTGACACAAGGTACCATTTTATCTGATAGAATATAATGTACATACATGGGTCCACGTTCTCAAATAGCTACAAATAATTAGCTATTTTATTGCTTTATGTTAAAATTTTCAGAGGAATTGCATAGGGAAACCATCCCATATGATGGAACCTTTTGTTACAGCGGGTATATATCATTTGATATGACCAAACTGTGCCGCATGAAATTACGGCTTTAGACCCTAGGTTTCCTTGAACGAAATCCGTTTCAGGACATTTGGAGTCGATCTAGGGTTGTCCGTACGTCCGTCCGTCTATCTGCCTGGCTAGTTGGTGCGCACGATAATATCGTAATATTATTATCAAACTTAGATCGAGATCGGGAATATTTCAATATTTTGAATAAGAGTCCGATTGTCTTTAAATGTTGCACATTCCAATATTTTTTCCCATATAAGATCTAGTGTGAAGATGGGATTGAACGGAAAGCAACCATGGAACTTCTAATTTTTCCATATTTTGCACATCCTTATATATTGCTGCCAACAGAAGATATAGTGTGGAGACTAAATTTTTCGGAGCGCTCTTTCTGGCACTTCTCCCGCAAAGGATTAAAAATTTGAATAATCCCATCTCTTGTAAAATGGTGTGAACGTTTTGAATAATCATGTCCGAATATACTTTAAAAAAGGGACACAGTGATATTTATACCCTGCACTACATAATGGTAAGGGTAAGGGGTATCTTTGTGCATTTGTGTGTAACATGGAGAAGAAAGCGAGATAGGCCCATAGTTACTTTTGAGGATCTTCATAGAATCACTTTCTGAATGAGGTTATGCTTGTCAGTCCGTCGACTGTCCATGTATTTTTGTGGACAAAGTGCAAGTAGAATTTATTGACCGATCGAGATGAAAGTTTCCAAACAATATTTATTTGGCCCAAGGACGAAACCTTTTTAATGCCAGATGTCAGATACAGCCTGAAATACCTCTGCCAAATTTTATCAAAGATCAGTGCAGATTTGGATATAGCTCCTATATATACCTTTATCCGATTTCAGTCTTTTTTTTTTGTGCACTATATGGCTAATATCAGCCCAAATGGAGTGTATTGTGGCACATCCGACCGAATTCAGCTTAGTAGTATGTACATGAAATTTTCCAAAATCGTTTCAGATATAGCTATAGCTCCCATATATATGTTTCATCCGATTTGGTGCTCAAGTCCCTCACATGCGTAATATGCACAACAACAATAATATTTGATACCGCTCAATAATACCACTGCTAAATTTTATCGTGATCGGTTGAGATTTTTATATAGCTTCGATATACATTTTCATCCCATTTTACGGTTATTGATCAGTATATATGTAATATCAGCCCAGATTGGATAAATTTCTTCATATTCAACCGAAATTTTCCACTTGGTGAATCTCTGTCCGGTATAACTATCGTTCCAATAAACATTTTTTAAATATAATCCTTATTAAAGTCGTATCATGCTTTATACAACAATGTTATTTGGCACTAGAGGTACAAGACCACTGTCAAATTTTTTGAAAATCCATTCTGTGTTGTATATAGTTCCAAAATTGTGACTACTCTAAAGCCATGATTCCCATTCAAATAAGGTTCATAGTTAGTATGATCTACCTCACATATATTTCCAATATAAAGTTTTTTTTGTTACGAGAGCTCTGCTAAATACGCATAGTGGTTTGGCCCCGCCAGACTTTTGACCATTCCCTGGTTTTTAATTTGTTTTTTGAAAATGTCGCCCATTTTTGGGTGGTACCACGAATTACATGACATACATTGCTAGTTTTACCCCAAATGTCCTGAAGTAGGTTTCATCGGAAAGAGAAGAACTCCAAGAACTTTATTTTGCTTAGAAAAATGTTTGATCCTTCCCTATAAAATGTACAAAAAATGACTCAAAATGCAGCACTGCTTGGGAGTTCGCGCCGCCAGACCCCACTGTGTTTGACATTCAAGACTCCTCCAAAAGAACGATTTGAAAAAATCCACTCTAGATTCCCATTGCCTACTACCAAATTGAATATTTCCAAACCAACTCAACAATTCTGATTTCATCCTTGTAACTTAGATAGATTCTTTGCAAACCAAAAATTCTAAATTGCCACCCGTATTCCTCTTCATTTCAGGTTGAACGAAAACGTCACATTGGTAACGATATTGTGAATATTGTATTCATAGATCAAAGCACGGCACCCAACGTTGATACCGTTTTGCCAACGATGTTTGATCCCACATGGATAAAAAGCCAATTTACACGTAAGTCGAAAAATGAACAACACTCATCCACCGCCAGCTATTCGGCAAATAACAGCGGCAAAAAAAAACAAATAAATAAAACATCATTCCATACACATTTGAACATCTGAACACTCATCGAATCTACTTCATACATACATACAGACATACATACAAATGTACAATGTGCTTTGTTTTTGTGCAAATTTTTGTTGTTGCAAACTCAATTTAAATTTTATAACTCTTTTGTCTTTTTTCCGTTTTTGTTGTAGATATTTTTGCGGTAGTTACGAAACATGAACAAACCTATCGTTTGGCCATATTTTGTGATGAGAATGTGCCACCATTTGGTCCAACGCTACCAAACCCACCCGAATTTACAGTAAGTGCCGATGACACACACACATGTGTGTGTTACCAAATACAATCACATACAATTTCACATACTTTTACACAAACCCCTAGCAATGTTGACCCATATAGAAAGAATATTGATTTTTTTGGATCTACGATACGATATATAATATGTTTTTTTTTTTTTTTTTTTATATGAACGTGATATATCTCTGAATCGCAGTAAAGGGATATGTCACTTGCATGTAACTGCAAAAAAGAGCAATTAATTAATTGTTTATAAATTAATAATTATCGCCAACAAAGAAAAACCATTTCATGTCATTGTTTAACAACAGCAGGCATTTTATTGTTTCCATATTTTGTAGAGAGATAACACTTTTCTGCTGATGTTATTAAAAAAATAATATTTAAAGTGATTTCTTTCCCTCCACCATAGTATGGAGGGTATATTAAGTTTGTCATTCCGTTTGTAACACCTCGAAATATATATATATACATATTCTTGATCGGCATATGTCCGCCCGTCTGGGGAAATCACTCTAGCTTCCGAACGAATTGAAGTAGATTAATAAAATTTTACTCAAATGTATATTATGTCCGCAGGACGTTTGGTATTGAAAATGGACCATGTAGGTCCACGTTTTCATATAGCCCCCATATAACGGTACCTCCCGATATTCGGTATTTCTATGATTTAAGCGACATTATTCACCGGAATTGTTTCATATGTGTTTTTTGAAGTTCGTAATGGATACCGCAGCCTAAGACAGAAAATTGTCTGTGCAGGTCCACGTCTTCCTATAGCCCCCATATGACGGTACCTCCCGATATTCGGTATTTTGATGATTTTCGCGACATTATTCACCGGAATTGTTTAAAATTTGGTATCTGAAGTTCGCAATGGATACTACAGCCTATGACAGAAAATTGTCTGTGAAGGTTTACGTCTTCGTATATCCCCCATATAAGGGTATCTCCCGACATTCGGTACTTTGTTGATTTTAGCGACATCATTCACTGGAAATCTTTCAAATTTGGTATTTGATGTTCGTAGTGGATACTGGAGCCTATGACAGATAATTAATTGTCTGTGCAGGTATACGTCTTCGTATAGCCCTCATATAGGTGTACCTCCCGATATTCGGTACTTTGTTGATTTTATCGACATTATTCACCGGAATTGTTTCAAATTTGATATTTGATGTTCGTAGTGGATACTACAGCCTATGACAGAACATTTTCTGGGCAGGTCCACGCCTTCGACTTCGTGTAGCCCCTTACTATATTCTATATTTTGATGATTTTGGCGGAATTGTTTAAAATTTGGTATCTGAAGTTCGCAATGGATGCTACAACCTATGACAGAAAATTGTCTGTGCAGGCTTACGTCTTCGTATAGCCCAAATATAAGTGTACCTACCGATATTCGGTACTTTGTTGATATTAGCTACATTATTTACCGATTTTTTTTTAAAGTTTCGCATTTGAAGATTGTAATGGCTTATGACAAAAGTTACCTATGCAGGTCCATGTCGTCGTCCATGCAGGTTCGGTATTTTTAAGATTTTAACAGAATTTTTAACGGATTTTATTGTTTTTGAGAATTGCCAAATTCGTTCCAAAAGGTGGAGAGTATTCTTTATTCTTTAATCAGATGTGTTTCAAAATGTCCTTCTAGAGCCTTCTTACTGTTCCCACACACATTACCTAATCCCGTAACCCAAATTTATTAAATATTAAAATGTTTATATCAAACTTTATTGCCAAAAAATATAAAATCCCACTTTATACATCACAATCCACTCCGGCCTAGGAACCTTGATGATGTGAGGAAATTAAATTCATAAAAAACAACATTTCATATTAATTTATTCCATAAAAAAAATATGATGTTACATTTTCTAATAAATCCTTTTCTCATCTTTTATCCATTCCAGGATGTGAATTTATTTCGTGAATTTTTACTCGTCAAACTAATAAATGCTGAAAAGGCAACCTTCCAAACGCCTATATTTTCACAGAAACGCGAGCGTACCTTGGAAATGCTAATTAAAGACTTGCACGAAGACTACATTGGTGACAGTAAATTGGTAAGTTTACATTGGGAAACCAAAACAAGGAGGGGGGTAGAGTATTCGAAAGATAACAAAAGCCTACACATGTTAAAGTTATGGAAATTTGTGTGCGAAGGTAGCGAGTAGGCAGTTAGACCTTCCAGGTATTTAAAAAAGGGCCTTTTAGAAATTCATTTTTAAGCAATTGTGTGGTTTGATTAAATAAAAATTTGGGATAAACAATTTAATTTTTTACCGAGAAGGAAAGTGTGTAAAAACGGAGTGGGATGAATCAACTAAAAGCTTAGTACATCGTATGTTTTAATAAGAATTGTTTTCTTATTTTAATCCTTTCAAGAAAATAACCCCCGGATATAAACCCCAAAAACCCTTATACAAATATATGATTGATTTTTAAAATATTCATAACATTTAACATTGAAACGAAAGTTGTGTTCCATTACCTACTATGTAGTACTAGGTTATTTTTACAATTTGTATATCCTCCACCATAGTATGGAGGACATATTAAGTTTGTCGTACCGTTTGTAACACTTCGAAATATAAATTATAGTCCACAGAGTATATACATTCTTGATCAGCATAAAATTCCATGTCAATTTAGAGATGTCCGTCCAACTGTCTGACCATCTGTGGAATAGCTTCCGAACGAAATGAAATAGGTTGATAAAATTTTACGCAGAGGTATATAAAGTCTACAAAACTTTTGGTGTTGAAAATGGGCCATACAGGTCCACGTCTTCGTATAGACTCCATGTGTTTTGCTGATTTTAGCATCATCATTCACCGGAATTGTTTCAAATTTCGTATTTAAATATCGTAACACCCTAAGACAAAAATTTCATATAGAGGTCCACGTATTTGATTTACAGTATTTTTCAACCATTTTGTCTGAATTTTGCAAATTCTTTCCAAATGGTGGATGGTATTAAAATTTCTGCACGGCCGGACTTACTGCTTTTTTATTCCCTCCCCCTTAAAAAGGAAGGAATATTAACATTGTCATTCCGTTTTAATATCCCTAAATGTTTGTCGTAGACCCCATTCAGTATGCAGGGTGAGATCAAAAAAAAAAACTGCAACAAAGTCAAACGCCATAATTTTTAATTTTTGTTTTGAAAGCAAAATATGTTGGAAACAGCAGCAAATTTTAGAATAAGTTTAGATTTGTTCGCATTGATCACCTTTGGTACGAATTATGGCCTTCAAACGGCCACTGAAACCGTCACACGCCGTCCGAAAGTTGTTCTGAGGTATTTTGGCCCATTCCCGGGGAAGCGCTTGCTTGAGGTGATCGACACTTTGGTATTTTTTAGTGCCAAACTTGCTTCCCAAAATACTCCAGACACAATAGTCCAAAGGATTGGTATCCGGAGATTTTGGTGGCCATTGTGCACTGGAAATGAAGCGAGGAACCTCATTTTGTAACCATTCTTGGGTGGTGCGTACTGAGTGCGATAGTGCTGAGTTCTGTTGGAATGTCCAAGGTCTGCGGCCAAAATGTTTGCGTGCCCAAGATTTTAATACACCCTCCAGAATATTTTCGCGTAATATTCGGCATTTATTCTGATGCGACGGTCGATTAATACGGCTGTTATGGCGGCCCACACCATCACCATGGCCGACGCTTGAGTTCTGGTGGCCAACCGAAGGTGCACATTTTCAGAAGACCTTTTTGGCAAGTAAACAAGATCATTTTGTTTGTTTACAAACTGCTGGACAACGAATGTTTTATCATCGGAGACAGCCAGTTTGTCACTTTGGGCCAAGCGAAGCAACTCTTTAGCTCCTCTGAGTCTATTTTCTTACCTTTGCGGCGAAAGCTCTTGCACTTTTTGGAATTTCAATGGCTTTACCCCGAGCTCATTTTTCAATATTTGCCGAATGGAATATTGCGATATGTTCAGCTCACGAGCCATTTTTCGGCCACTGCGACGCGGGTTTCGGCCAAGTCGCTTCTATACTTTTTGAAGCAGTTCTGCTGATGTTGCTGTTTTCTTCCGTCCACTTCCTTGACGTCGGACTACGCTATAAATATCACGGTAACGAGCGGTTGTACGAGACAAAAAAGATTTATTCACATTTAACTGCTGGTGTGCTCTAACAATGGCCAGTTGTGGTTTTCTAGCCAAATATAAGGAAATCTCGCTGCAATTCCATCACGAATAACTTTTTGTCTGGAAAATTCTCACCAAAATGCTTTTCTACGATTGTAAACAATATAATGAGCTGTCACTGGAATAATTTAAACAGCTGTCGGACGAGTTGCGTAGAAATTACAACAGTCTGAAGTTGGTTGCAGTTTTTTCATCTGACTCCATATCGTGTTTGGTGCATTACATACATGAAATCGGCCGAAAATAAATATGGGAGCTATATCCAAATCTGAAACGATTTGCAAATATATCTGAAACGATCATGCAAATTTCATTGGAAGCGAACATACGTATCGTGTTTGATGCATCAAATATGTGAAAACGGCAGAAAATTTATATGGGAGCTATAACCAAATATGACCCGATTTTAGTATAATTTGGCAAAATTTATTTTTGTTTCAAATTCCGTTATGTATTCCAAATTTGTAGATTCTATATGTAATCTATCAATAGATATGTACATATAAAATCTAAATTTTTAAGAGGTACCTCCGATTCTGATGTCATCTCTCCAGTTTCAAGTGGAATATCAAAACTGTGTATAGCCTATGTTACTTTCAGGCGATGTTTAAATATACTTGGAAAATTTCCGGAACATCTGTTCGCCGTTTTTCGAGTCCATAAATTACAAACAAACAAACATTTTAATCTTTTATAGATACTGAATAAGAAGATAGATATCACTGGATATAGGAAATATCAAAACGAACCAGTAAGGAAAAATCTAAAGTCGGTCGAGGGCTACTATATGATACTATGTATATTTAGTAGAGTTCCCGTAGCAAAAGAAACTATTTGAGGAAACCAATATATGGGAGTCATATCCAATTCTGAATAGATTTCCACGGAGATATTTTAATATTTTATATCAATAACATTGCTATAGAGTGCATGGTATCACTTATAAAGAGGATTATATTTCATAATAAATCGTACGCACCAGCCAGACAGACAGACGGACATCGCTCTATCAACTTCAAATGTCCTGAAACGGATTTGGTCCAAAGAGACCTCTCTAGCCATATGGCCAAAGAAGAAGAAAGAGTTGCGATTTGTCTAAAGAAATGTTAAACCAAAACTAGATATGATTGAAACTTACATTTTTGCATCGCCTGCTTCTCTCCATAAATAATGGGGTTACCAGCATATGCGAAATCTAAAATGTTTTTGATACACTTATGATTCAAGAGGATAATATGTATTGTATTTCGACCTAAACACACAACATCAAAAATGCGTTTAAGGCCTTTGTCACTCCTACAGGCCTTTTACAACAAGTGTCAGTTGCCACAAAATCTCAGCAATTTTCATATTTACATACGTAAAATGTCATAACAGCGAACGACATATTATTTGACATCGACGCAATGTTTAATGCTTGCTCATATGAAAGGATAAAGCTGGCATTTTAGCATATGTATGTACATTAGGATGCTGAAAGTGCTCCCAAGATTCGAACATTTAAATACATACGAAGTAAATATTTACTTGCGACAGTCGCATATTCGACGTTTATCCTTGTTTATTTGTATAGACGAAAGATAATATTTGGATTTTGAAAAACCCCCTTTATTGGAAAATTGTATTGAATTTGATGCGGGTCCACGCAAGATGTGTGTGCGCAAAATTTTTGGGGAGTCGATTATGCAAAATACACAAAATAAACCTCAATTTTTAATTGAATTTTATGTCGGCGAATAGATATTCCATTCCATCAATACTTTCAATGCCTTGAGGAATTTGTGAGGGTGCGAGACAAACAAATACACTCCTTTGGAGAAGAAAATTGATATTTCAATCAGTTATTGAATTTTATATGAATTTTGGGGTTTATATCTCAGAGATTTTTTTTGGATACATGAATATTTTTGGAAAGCCATTTGATTTCAGTAAGAGTTCTTTGGGAAGATTGCCCACTGGAAGAGATTGTGTTTTTATGTATACGTGTTATGGGAATTAAATGGAAAGTTCCAAGTCATTTCAAAATAATGCACTAAGTTCACCGGACCTACCATTATATACGATATATAATATGCAATCTTAAATTATTCTGGAATGAGTTGTCGTAAACCCATTAACTTAAAAAAACCTCAACTGTTGTCCATTCACGTCCCGTATTTTGGTGGCTTCCTTTATATGGCAAATATTCGACCCATAAAGAAAGTTTTTACGAGATTAAATTCTACATAATCAGTACCCGAAATATCAAATTACACCTGACTTCGTGCGAAATTGCGACAGAAGACTTCAAAATAATGAAACTAAAAAGTTACAATTACATTCACCTATAAAAATATATATGAAAAAATTGTGGCAGAGACCCTCAAAATACAGATAATCGGGAGGTAGCGATATAAAGGTAGTAAATCAAATACTGCATATATTTAGAAATTTTAACTAGTGAGAACCCGAAATGCCAAACTTCAGCTGATTTGATTGGAAATATCTGCTACAAATTTCTAAATGCCAAAAATTAGGAGCGACCAGAAAATAATAGAAATAATTGATTGATAATCAACGCCAAGACGAAACGGCAGATGCTAGAATATTGAAATTTCGCACAAAGAACAGGCTTGGTGCGTAGATGTGTGATAAGGCTGGGCTTATAGAAATTCGTACCAAAAGAATACTAAATGTACTAAAATTTACTAAAAATTGAATACTTTGTGTTGGACAAACGGAACAAGTTTGAATTCTGAAATTTGGAGTGACAGTGCAGAATTGATGTACCAAATGTTTTTTTTTGGAAATTCAAACTTTAATGTTACGAAAAGTTCTAAAGTGCTACCAAAATTTAACAATGGTACAATTTGGTATTATGTGAACGGATAGATCCAAAAATTTAAAATCTGGTATGAG